TTAAAAGAAAGAAAAAAGAAAAGAAGGAAAAAAATTAAAAACCGAAAGAAAGAAAAGAAAGAAATGAAAGGAAACAATTAAAAAGAAAGAAAGAAAGAAAGAAAGAAAAAAAAAAAAAGAAAGAAAGAAAAAAAAGAAAGAAAGAAACAAATGAAAGAAAACAAGTAAAAGAAAAAAGAAAAGAACGGAAAGAAAGAAAACAATTAAAAGAAAGAAAGAAAGAAAAAAAGAAAGAAAGAAAGAAAAAAAGAAAGAAAGAAAGAAAGAAAGAAAGAAAGAGAAACGGGCAAATTGAGGAAAGTATGAAATAGTAATGTCTATAGAAACAAAAGAAAGAAAGAAAGAAAGAAAGAAAGAAAGAAAGAAAGAAAGAAAGAAAGAAAGAAAAGACAGGAAAGAAAGGAAAGAAAGGCTAAAGAAAATTGGGATAAAAGAGAAAAAGAAAACTATCAAAACAAAAAAAGGTAAGTGAAAGAAAATGAAAGACGAATCCAAGAAAAAGAAAAAATAAATTATTAAAGACAGAGAAAGCCAGAATAATGTGTGTGTATGGTGATGGGGAGAGTTAGAGGAGCGGAGACAAAAATAATATACCGTTAAAAAAATGAAAATGAAAATCACTACTGAGAGTAGGTCGGGGAGATTAGTTTCGGAAAAGCAATATGGCGACAGAATAGTCGAAGGAAGGCGTAATGATTGGCAATAGGAAGTTTGTTTTCCTTTTCTTTGGGAGATGATTGAACGGATCGGATAAATGTCCACATCGTCAGGTGGAGGGGAATCCTGGGTAATTACCGCAGTAATTATAAGCAGATTATTTCTAATCTTACTTTATTGAGATTTGGAGAAGCGGAAGAAGTAAAGAAAAAAAAAGCTAAAATGAAGATAATGAAAGATTGAGAAAGAGAACTAGAGAGTTTGAGACAGAGAGATGGGAAACGGGGAAAGAAAAACAGAACGATGTTATAAGAAATGAGAAAAATGTTTTAAGAGGAATAAAAAAAACAAATAGAAGAAGAAAAAAGAAAAAGAAGAAGAAAGAAACAAAAAGAAATTCAAGTGCAAGGCGGCTGGGAAAAAGGTGATAACAAGAGAAAAATACTTATACAACAGTCATGCACTCTTTTTTGTCGTTTGTAATGTTATTTTTTGACCATTTAAAACCTCGCCCAGTTATTTGGAATTTATATTTAACAGCTTCACTCAGCCTTCAGAAGCAAGAAAATTATGATAGAGACAAATAAAAATGTACCAGATGAAGAAGGGACTTGAGACAGCCTAAATGATGATGAGAATACCATGGACTGAACATATGATCAAAAAAGAAATCTTATAAAAAATGGAAACAAAAAGGACACTTATACTTAGAATCAGAAAAAGATAATTGAAATTTCTAGGGTGCATAATGTTGAAAGAAGGCTTGGAAAATTTTACACTCACAGGACATATTGATGTCAAGAGCGTCGGTGGAAAACAGCGCGTTGCCTATCTAACGAGCTTGCGTAAATGGTTGTCAAAACAGTGATCAGGAGAGATTGCAAAAAGACGAAATTTACCAAGAAATTACATAAGAAGAAAGAATGAAATGAGTTTGGTCGAATAATGTTTAGAAAAGATTGCAAAAAGACGAAATTTACTAAGACCTACAAAGGACAGGAAATTGTGGAGAGACATGATTTCTAATGTTCTAAAGGGACACGACAACATAGAAGAAAAATAAATCGTTTTCTAACGTAAAAATTATTTGCAATGTTTTCCAGTGATAAAAATCATGAGTAATAAGTTTAAATTCCACATATAATAGACATATATTGCCATTAATCATTGTATTAATTCTTGACTTATGCCACACGTATTATTCCTGGTATTCAATGAATTCCATGTATTTTCACATCAGAGAAAATACAAAAAATAATTTATTACTTTAACAGTGAGAAATTTATTTATTGAAAAAATTTTGAACAAAGTAAATATAAACATTTTTTTCTATGCTCTGACAACCGCAATAATGGAGAAAGCATTTGCTCGAACCATCGCCAGTGAGACACGCTGCAGAGAGCCACTCCGTTTCGCGAGGCTCGTCCCTTAACCGAGACGCACTCGTGCCAATCCTTTCTTTATAGCGAGACATTACTAACTTCTTGGCCGTTTCTATTAAATACTTGAAGCCATGTCAGTTCAGTTACTGCTCTATCTCGTCCCTTATCGCATCACGACGACTTCAGGACAGGACAAGGAAATTGTGGAATGCCATTATAGTCAATTCCAGACAGAAACTGGCAAAAAAAAGAATTATTTTAATTGTGCTAATTTGGCTTATACCATTTTTGGCCGACATCAATCTCTGAAAAAGAGAAACGACGTCGTTTGCCATTGTTGATATCAAGTAAGACATTCAAAATTTAATGATGCATTTTTTACTCAATTCACACCAAGCAAAGTCACTAAGATACAAGATGTAACTGAGTGTGAAAGAATATGAAAAAGAAAACACTAATAAGGAAGGAGAAGAATAAAAGAAGAGGAATCCAGAAAACAGTAGATGGCCCACTCTGTGATGTCGGGTTTTATATTCAGTGGGTCCAACACCGAACAACTTATTATTATTATTATTATTATTGTGCCAAATCCGTTCCCAAATACCCAAACTGCCACGTGTAGACAAGCGCTTTCTATGATCAATGGTTAACAATGGCTTTGAGTGGGTGAAACTTATGTGTCTTGAAGACCACACTTTTTGTGGATTTACGTTACAAAACCACAAAGATCTGTACCAAATAACAGAAACCACATCATTCGTAACTGAAAACAGCAGCAATGGCTAAAATTGATAGCATGTGTAGCTCGAAGAGAAGATGATGAAGTAATTAGGATGTTTTATTCCACTTTACTTCAAGTTAAACCTTAAGAAGGAAACCTGCATCAATAATGGAAAAATAGATACCAGATATTAAACTTAGAAAACTATTTTCTTGAAAAATTATTGTCAGAGAAAGATTTCCTAAATTTAAGCCGTAATGGCGGCTCGGTCAATGAATGCCGAATGTTTCCTTATAAGGAAATAGCTGTTATTATCATTGCCACTTAAAATAAGAACAGGTACTACACTATGACCCAACTTAATAGGTAAGGTATTAAAAAAATCCTGGCTGCTCGGTCAACGAATTCCGACTTTTTAAGGAAACAGCTAATATTAGCATTAACATTAGAAATGATGAGAACAGATAGCACATTATGATCCCAGGTATATACACAGAGGGTGAAGAAAAGCGTAACTCGAGTAGTAATGGCTGCTCGATCATTAAGTGCTGAATGTTTCTTTATTAGAATAGAAAGCGACTAATATTAACATTATCATTTACTGTTTCTACTTTTACTTTCGTCTAGGTTATATAGCTGAAAGGCAAATTGGTATATTTTCTTTTTATTTCCTGTAGTTCAATATCATATTAAATACACACTATATGTTGACTCAATATTTTGAAAACTTTTGTTATATAATAATATTTATATAATATAATAATTGATATAATACTATATAATTGTATTATTAATAATAGACTAATATTACCCTCCCAAATTTCAAGTGAAACCCGTATATGCGATCCAATGATGCGATGCTGGAAACATGGTCGATCCCTTGTACCGCTCCAGAAAGAACCTGACTCTCCCTGTTATGTTCTACATTTACAAAAGTCAGATAGGAACAAAGAATGGTGGACTACTGCCATATTTTGTCTGGAGCAGCCCAGACCTCACTTTCCAGCCATAAGAGAGTTGAAATGCTTCGTAAGCTTAATCGCTATTTCCATGGCAAATGTTCAGACGAACTACATTCCTTGTACAGGGGGGGTCGAATTATTTACATTCTCTTCGTATTCTATTAGTAAAGATGAAGTTCCACTTAGTTTTTTCCCAAGAACCACAACTTTTGGGGAATTGACTCTCATAAATTTGCATCCTCAATCATTACAATCTACAGGGTCAACCGTTATCAAGTAGCAAGCTTAAATTTACGCTTAAAAGCTTAACAGCTCATCAGATTAATTGCCATGAAAATATTTGTCGAAAAGATAGAGGGAAGCCACAACACGACGGTGACTGAAGTTGAGATGCCAGGTCAGGATCGATTTCATTACAGACTCTTCTTTGGATTCTGTCAAGAATCTTGAGATATAGAGTAGAAGCGCTGCACCATGTGTGGCAGCAATATTCAGTGCACTGACGAATGGTACATTTATAAATGTGCAAGATGGAGTCTCAGAAGTATTCTCTGGCACAACACAGTGACCTAAATTTCCTAGCAGCAGACCTAACAATTGATTCGATATAATCACTCCACCTCATTTCAGTGGAAATCGTGAGTCAAAGAAAGCATAAAATGTTGCTCTTCTGGAGTTTAGAATCATCTATAACGATGGCAACTAGAAATGTTTCTCTGTGGTGATTAAATGAAGGCAACTTTGTTTTGGAGGCTTTAAAATTTACAAGCTATTCATTGCCCCAGTTAACCAGTTACTGTTGGCTCTTTTCGAGTGCAGTTACTACTTTTACTTAGTCTGATCACTCGAACTTGCTATTAAGACAGGAGTAAATAGTTGTACCATCTGCAAAGATACCTATTTGACTGATGACATCGGAAAGATTGTTGATGAAGATCAGAATCTGTGTAGGTTCGAAGAGATAACATGGCGGGAATCTGTTAATATGAAATGTCCATTCAATTCGACCATCATTATACAATTTTTAGAAAAGATTGGATTAGCCCAAATATTCATCTAAAATATTCGTCGTAAGGGCTGTTAAAACATTGGCGGTAGACTTAAGGAAACGGAAGCCATAGTGTTTATCCGAAAGGTTATCCTGTTAAGTAAAATGCTTGACCAATTCGGCGTTGTGTGGAGCATCTCATACTTTGCCAAAAAGAAGCGATAATTCTAGGGGTCAGTTGGTTCCCCAGACAGGATCTATACAGGAAGCCTTCCAACAAGTTGAAAAGCAAAAAATAGAGAGACATTTATTGTAAAGTTTTGAGAGAACAAGAGCGAGTTCAAGAGCACAAAACTTGCGTGAGTCTGTTATTAATGATAGCAGAAAATATGGACAGAATTTTGCGCATATCACTCAGTAGAAACTCTGAAATTTAGAGATAATTCAGATGAGTTTAAAGAGGGTTTCCGGGCAAAGTACTCTGCTTTATCTGCGGTAATCTCTAGAACCAAATCCGTGAGATGTTATACGGTGTCTCATTCTATCAGTGAATAGTGACTTTGCATCATTGAGGACACGCTTACATACATTACGAGCTGTGATAGAGAGACGCCTGTTACAATCAGACCTGTTGCTTTGGTTTCACCGGAAGAAGTGATTTCTGTGGGCTCTAGCGGCTGAACAAGCAGGAAAGAACCAAAGAGAAGATTGTGGTTTCACTTGTTATTTCCATGCTAGTACGAAAGCTTCGATGCCGGCTTTCGCTCAGGAAGAGACTGCAGTTGCACATTTCTCAAAAGGCTGATTAAAAATATCAACCCAAGTCGCATCGCGAAACGAACCCCAATCAGCGCGTTGATAACAGAGAGATTGTCTGTTAATAAGGTATTCTTTCTTGATAGGAGGGCGGAAAAAGATATCTATAGACACTATCAGAGTTGCCAAGAGGACAGATCTGTAGAGCACAACATGATTCCAGGCAGGAGGTAAGGAAGAAATCAAGTAGGGAATCTTGTCCGTCAGAGTTACCAAGAACATGCCTGGGGATGTATAA